GAGTAGTCGAAGTTGTAGGGAGAATAGGGAGGGAAGCTAAGCTGGATGAGCCTTTCGCGAGAGATGAAGAAGAGACGAGAAATCCAGCCCGGACCAGGGCCATACACTCCGGCGGACTGAAAGCGGCTCCGGGAATTGCACATGTGTTTCCGATCCGACCAAGCAGCGCGAGAAATTTCTCTGACACGGATCAGCTTGCTGTCTGAATGACTGAATGGAAGCGATAGCCTCACCTTTTAGGGGTGCTTCCAATGCAGGGCTATCTAGCACCAAGCGGTCCCATTCCTCGCTCAACACTAAGCAATCGCCTAAGCCCGCGGCATCATTCCCTCTCCCGGGGACAATCAAGCGGCGGACCCGACCGGCACGAACTAGCTCCATGATTTCCTTCTCGACCTTGGTGGGTGCTTCCAACAGAGTATGAACGTGTGCGACGGAGGCGAGGGGAGGCAGGGAGCGACGAAAGTTGAGGACCTCGGCGATGCGCGTGCTATTCATGCCCGCTCGGCGGGGCAGATCTTCAAACATGCTGTTGCGAATGTACTGGAGAGCCTCGACCACATCTGTTACGGGAGCAGTTTCGGGGATGTATCGTGATGGCCCGAGATCCGGAAGGGGGCCTTGCTCGTACTCATTCTGCTCGCTGGAGATCTTGAAGATGCCGGATGATGGCGGCGCCGAAGGTTTGCGACGGGCATGGGCGGCGAAGGGAGAGGCCCGCGGCCTCGAGGTAGCGGGTTTTCGGTTCTTCCTGATACCAGAAACGGGAGCCGAAGTAACGCGCAAGGGCATGGCAGGGTGAGTATACAGGGGAATCAGGAATTAGGGAGTAGTAGGAGAGGGAACGAAGAGGAAAGGAAGAAGAGGAAGAAAGATAGAAGCGGAGAATCGATGCGCCGGAAATGGAAGGGAGGGATTAAGCGCCTGAGGCAGCCGAAACTGATCGGCGGAGATAAGGTCATGTGACCTACTAACATGATTTGGGCCAATGGCGGGACCGAGTGGAGACCCGTGAAGAACATCAGCAGAAAGACTTGTTCAAAGTCCCCCAAAGCAGGGGAACCATTTAGGCACTAAAACAGGGAATGCCAGAATAGTACTGAAATAATTCTGGTAGACAGGAGAATCGTCTGATGGAAAGGGAGAGAATTACCTAAGAATGGTGTCAACTTGGAACCAGAATCAAACAAAAAAAGGTCCCGCTGGCTTGCTTTGCTTTTCCTTTCACCAGCACATGACGTAGCCATGAGAACTTGCACTTTTTTGTTCTTCCATTCACCTTCTTCCATCTTCTCTCCCCCCGTTTCCTCCCTGTCCATCCCTTCCTCTTCTTCCCGTTGTCCCGTCGCGATCTGCCTCTAAGTCGTAGGTTAATTGTCAGTCTTCTCTACATCTCGCCCTCGTCTTCTACTCCCTCTTCTCTTTCGGTTACTGGGTTTGACTCGTCCCGGGGTCCCAGCTACCCCGCTGTCAACATGACTATCTACATCGCCTCACTGTAAGTGATTACCCACTGTACACAACTCTTAGGGTCCTCTCTGACCGGCGTGCGGTTCAGTTTCCTACCCTACACGGTTAATTTCCATCAGAATGAACCCGAGATTCGTCCGGCGGAGGGGACGAGCCCTCAACCAACCAATCCCGCCGAGAATCCTACTCCTAACCCGAACGCGACTCTGAGCTTGTTCGAGAGGAACAATGGAGCGCCCCAGGTCGGCCTTACACCTGGTGCCACTACTGAACATGAATGCATTTTCTCCACAGATCTTTCCAAGGCGGAACAAGAGCACACCGGATTTCCTTTTCCCAAGACCGACGGCGATGTGGCCTTGTTGACGGAGAGCGAAGCTCACTCCCCAGCCTGGGGTTCCACCTTGGCCCTGAACCAACCTCGCCCGCGAGCGGCATTCCCGGCCTCGCCCTCGATTCTCAAGCATCAAGAAATCAGACCTTCAGGGACAGAAGCGCCCAAAGAGAAGCCGCGATCTGTCCCGAAGACGCCAACCTCGCATATCCGGGACAGCTGGGCGGACCACAGCCGCAAAAGCTCGTTCTCATACGCCGATTGGACGATCGAAACGGCCGAGCAGGGCAATGGAGGCTTGCGCAACGCCGTGCGATCGGCCACGGACGCCGGGCAGCTGGAAGACAAGGTCTGGGTGGGTACGCTGGGAATGCCCACTGATGCGCTGCCGGAGCACACCAAGGAGGCCATCGCCGAGAAGCTCGAAGATGAGTACGGCTCCGTGACCGTTTACGTCAGTGACGGTGACTTTGATGGCCACTACACACACTTCTGCAAGACGATCCTCTGGCCCGTGTTCCATTATCAGATTCCGGACAACCCCAAGAGCAAGGCCTACGAGGATCATTCCTGGATCTACTACGTCAAAACAAACCAAGCCTTTGCCGAACGCATCGCAAAGAACTGGAAGCGTGGTGATTCCATCTGGGTGCAGGATTACCACCTGCTGCTGGTCCCGGCCATGCTGCGGAAACTGCTTCCCGATGCCCAGATTGGCTTTTTCCTCCACATTGCCTTCCCATCGTCGGAAGTGTTCCGGTGCCTGGCACCTCGCAAGGAGCTTCTCGAGGGAATGCTGGGTGCTAATTTAGTCGGATTCCAGACGGATGAGTATTGTCGGCACTTCCTCCAGACGTGCAGCCGCATCCTCAATGTGGAGGCCACCAATGATGGACTGCAGTTGGAGGATCGTTTTGTCAACGTGAGCAAGTTCTCGATTGGCATTGACCCGACTTCATGGGATCAACGCCGGCAGGCCGCAGACGTGGAACGATGGATTAAGACCATTTCGGAGCGTTACGAGGGCAAGCGACTCATCGTGTCGCGAGACAAGATCGATCAGGTACGCGGAATTCGGCAGAAACTGCTGAGCTACGAACTCTTCCTCAACACGTATCCCGAATGGCGAGACCAGGTGGTGTTGATCCAGGTGGCGACCAGCACCACCGAGCAGCCCGAGCTGGAAGCAACCATTTCCGATATCGCGATGCGGATCAACTCCACTCACTCCACGCTTGCGCATCAGCCATTGGTCTTCTTGAAACAGGATCTGGCTTTTCCACAATATCTTGCCTTGATTTCCGTGGCAGACGCCTTGATTATCACCAGCTTGCGTGAAGGAATGAACTTGACCAGCCATGAGTTCGTCTACTGTCAGGACGGTAAATGGGGCAACAAAAAGTACGGATCCCTGATACTGAGCGAGTTCACTGGCAGCGCGTCTGTGTTTGGCGACCATGCCCTTCTGGTCAACCCCTGGGACTACCGTCAATGTGCGGAAGCCATCCATACCGCCTTGTCGAGGGATGAGCAAGAGCGCCAGGAAGTGTGGACGAAGATGCATCAGGCAGTGCTGCAGAACTCCACCCACAACTGGGTCAAGTCATTCAGTGAGACGTTGAGCCGGGTCTGGAACGAGCAGTCATCCCGGGAAATCATGGCCGTGCCTCGGCTCCAGACAAACAAGTTGGAGGAAATGTATCATCGGTCGTCGCGCCGGCTGATCATCGTGGACTATGAAGGCACACTCGCCTCCTGGGGCTCACCAAAGAGTATCATCGTGACGACGCCGCAGCGTGCAATCACGACGCTGGCCGAACTAACCGAGGATCCGCGGAACGTGGTGTATGTTATGAGCGCCCGCATGCCTGAGGAGATGGAGCGGCTGTTCCGGCTGGTCACCAACCTGGGTCTGATCGCCGAGAACGGGTGCTTCGTGCGCGAGCCCAACTCGGAGACCTGGCTGAAGCTGACGGACAAAGTTCAGACGGACGCGTGGAAGGCGGCAGTGTCACATATCTTGGAGTACTACCAGGAACGCGCAGAAGGCAGCTGGGTGGAACAGCGGCACTGCTCGCTGATGTTCCACTACGAGTCGGCGGAGGACCAGGTGGCAGCGTCGCGGCTGGCGTCGGAGTGTGCGGGCCACATTAATGATGCCTGTTTGAGTCAAGGGGTGCATGCAGTGCCCGTGGAGCGTGCGCTGGTGGTGGAGCCGGCGGGCATCAACAAGGCGTCGGCAGCGGAAGTGGCATGGCGGTCATGTCTCAAACAGAGCCAACGGGACGAGAATGTGCCGCGGCCGGATTTCCTGCTGGCAATCGGAGATGGTCGCGATGACGAATCGGTGTTCCGGTGGGCGAACAAGCTGGACAATGCGCGGGCAGTCAACTACGCCATGACGGTGACGCTCGGATCTCGTAGTACAGAGGCAAAGGCGACTCTGACACAAGGAGTGACTGGTAAGATTTTCCCTATGACTGTAATGAGTGGAAGGATGCTAACTGCATGTTGATGGATAGGAGTCTTGTCGTGTCTGGAGAAGCTGGCGGCAACCCGAAGTGGGCCATGAAGAGATGAACGATGCGAAATGAGCATATCTACGAGTACATGACTTGAAGCGTACATGATGGACTTGCGTTGCATGAAATGGGTACATATGAGTACACTGTTATTTGAACATCTCCAATTACAAAAGCAAGAACAAGCAGACAGGCGTGCGGGCTGGATTTCAATGTATTCGGGGGGTGTTGAAAAGAAATATAGAATGAGAGGGAGAGAGAGCAGCTGCGGGAGTTCAAGGGGGTCACATAGACGAGGCCATAATACACGCAGAATCTTCAAACCACATAGTCTAATATGAAGCCGTGGACCATGTCCCTGATAGTGATCTACACAGTAACAATCAATAGAGAACTAGTTAGTAAACTAAATCTTGTGACGGGTTAGTAATCCGCCAACTGGAAGATTCAACCGAGGCATTTTCCCGCTTCGGACCTGGTCTCCCTCGGTATCTATTTTTGTTTTAGATAGAACAGCAAGATAAACAGATAACTAGATTTTCATCTCTCAACTTTCGGTCTCTCCTTTTCTTCCATGGATAGAACATACTGACCAGAGACTCCCTCTAATACCTACACATACATATACCACACCACCTTCCTTCCTACATAAAAGACCGACGTACATACCGATAATGTCTCCCCCTCCTCCTCCAGCCCACGGCCCGGCCTTCGAGTCCGCGATCAAAGTAACTCCCCTCAGCTCGCACCGCTACTCAGCCCATCTTCGCAAAGAATGGTGCATCGGAGCAGGTAGGATATATACATACACCTTGCCTCCCTGTTCCATATATCGCATACTCACTGTCTACTACAGTCCCCCACGGCGGCTACACTACCTCCGTCCTGTACCGTCTCGCCCTCGTGCACTTCGCGCACACCCACCCAGATCTCTACAAGAACAGTCCCGCGACCCCGATCTCCATGCAACTAGCCTTCCTCCGCCGCACAGCGGCAGGTCCCGCCGTGCTGAAAGTCGAGGATACGAAGCTGGGACGGCGGACGAGCACTCTACATGTGATGCTGCTCCAGAAGCCTGATAGCGGCAAGCGGAAGCAATCGCAGTCGTCTACTACGGAAGGGAAGAACGGTGAGGATGACGAGGACCTCGAAGTCAAGGTGGCAGGATACATTACCGTTAGTCCCGCGGACGCTGAAGAGGGACTTAGTGTTACGACTGGGTGGAAGGTTAGCAGTCCTGCGCCGGCGGCTGGATCGAATGGAGATGGGTCGGTGAACTTCGGGACGTTAGGAAGGACAGGGCGTGATGGGGCGTGGGGGAAGCTTATACCGGAGCATTCGGGGTTCCGGAAGGCGACGGGGCAGACGGAGTTCTATGTGCCTGTTCAGCTTAGTGAGGAGGAGAGGAAGCAGAGGAAGATGAATGTGGAGCAGTGGGTGAGATTCCGGCCTGCGGGGGATGTGAATGCGCGGTGGACTAATGAGGCGCTGGTGTATTTGACGGATATGTTTCCTGCGGCGTTGGCTGGCTTTGATGATGCGGCGGAGGAGGCGGCGGTCGGGGGTGGGAAGGGGTTGTTTTGGTTTCCCACGGTCACGTTGAATATTGATCTGAAGAAGAGGTTGCCGGAGGAAGGGGTCGAGTGGTTGTATAGTCGGGTGTATACGAAGAAGGTGCGGGATGGACGCACGGATTTGGATGTCACGGTGGTGGATGATAAGGGGGATGTGGTGGCGTTGAGTACGCAGGTGGGCTTGGTGTTGAGTGCCAGTCGCAATATCGGGTCTCGTGCGAAGTTGTAGATGCTTCGCTTTCTTTTTTTTTTTCCCCCCCTTTCCTTCCACCCTTGTTTCTGGCTCATCATCATCATCCTCGACCCTGTTCCTTTCTTTCTCTCTATCTTTCTATCTCCGAACGACTGGCTCTATCTACCGTCGATGCAATATGTACATATACCATATACACGGGTAATAGAATCTTGATCTATAGAACAAACAGCAAAAAGAAAAGTAGGACTTAGAGCGACGGTCCCGTCTGCATCCAGAATGCCATCGCATCCGTGGTAAGACGCATTGGTTCTCCCTCCGCCTGGGGAGAGGTAACGGCACCTTCTGTATCCTGCGGCTGGAAGGCCTGTGCGCGCACCCAGAACTTGCGACCCACACGAGCGAGGACCTTAGTCCGAACGACCAGATACCCCGGCGCAGCAACGGGACTCTTGTAGCGGATGTCCAATTGGGCAGTATAGAGCATTCCGCGCGGCGTAGGCGGGACATGCGGGCCATCCGGCTGCTCGTCCTCTACCAGCTTCGGGCCCGTCTCCGGCGCATACAGTGCCACAGCATAGGACATGGCCTCGTCGAGGGACGTAGCCAGGACTCCGCCATGAGCAGTTGACGGATGGCCCGAGACACCGGGGGCAGCAATGTCGAGGATGAGGATCAAATCGGGGTCTTCAATTGGAGTCGGGGCGCCGGTGGGAGCGGGCCAGGTGGGCGGGGAGTTGGGGAGAAGAGAGAGGAGGTGCGGACGTCGACGGAGTGTCAGGACGTGGGGGATAGTGCGGGCGGTGGCTAAGGTGTTGGCGAAGTAGCCATCCTCGCCGGTGGAGGGTTTAGGAATGCGCGAATAGGTGCGGACGGGGAGGTAGTCTGGGTGGTGGAGGAGAGATCGGAGAGATGGGGAGGTGGCATTGAGGAAGGGGGATAAGGAGGCGGGGTCGGGGGTGTCGAGGATTGAAGAGGACATATTCACAAGTGGTAATGTATGAATTGATGTGGAATTAGAGGGATAGGAGGTGGTGTGGTTGTGTGAGGTGTCGAATTGAGATAGATGATATGATGTTTCAGAGTAAAAGAGAGGGATGAGGGGAACGGAAGCAATAGTCTGTATGGAAGGAATGAGTGGAGGAGATCAGCCGAGGGATAACTCGGCGGAATCACATTGTTGCAGCTTTTGCGCAAGGTACAATACCGTCAATTTACTCAGGTTGGTATGGTTCCTGGTAAAGAACGTCTGTCTCGGACGGTACTGAACCGGTTACTACTGGGATACCGGAAGGACCTTGCCGGATTGGGGTATGACTGTTTTGATGGATATCATGTGCCCAGCCTTGAATTCGGCAAAAGCAAAGCGGAGTAAATCCTAATCATTTTCATTCAGGATTGCTCACTTCTTTTCTATACAGTAAGACCGCTATCTATTTATTCGACTTCATATTTGGCTGAACATATCTCCGTCGCCACGCCCAATTATTTGCTAGTAGCTGTCTGATGATAACTATTAATATCATCCCATCAACACCATTCCTCTGACACACCGGACAGAATTGACTACTCCGGTAGACTGCTTGCTTCCCTTCTGCCGAGTTGACTGGCTGGATAAACATTTGGAAACCACCTGAAGCCCGAGCTACGTATGCCATGGACGCCCGTCGCGACTAACGCTCGACTAGTTTTTGGGCTCCAGTTCTGCAGCCACTCATCTGTTGCGCCGGTCACTTTAGCTCACGGCGCTACCGGGGATGAATCGATAACAAAGAGGAGAGGCCCCAAGAGGGGACTCGCTCACACCGAATATCCCGGATCAACCAGCCGCCAGCATTCTCTTATGCCATTCCATTCAGGGAAAAAAAAAGAGGGGAAAAATTGAAAGACATTAGAAGTGAAAATAAAAAAAAATAAAAAAAATTTTGGAGAATTGTTGCACATTCCAGGCAGCGACAAATGGGTAGAAAATTCTTCAATTCTCCAAATTTTTTGTTTCCTTGGCCTTTTTCTTTTCTACTGGTGTCTCTCTTGTCTCTGTGGTGAGTACTGAGTATGTCTTGGAGAGGAGTTTGTCTCTCTTGCAGGTGGACCAATGGAAACCAGACAGGGCATCTGCAAGTCTGCGACTTCCTCCTCGAGGGTTAATTAGTATCCCTCGCGTAGGGCAACAAACAAATCGCCGGCCAAATCATGAGTCCGTTGCTGCACCAAAACAAGGAACGGGAAATTGGAGCCAGAAATGAGGGGGAAAGTCTGAGAAACAGTCAGAGATGATTATCGACTCTTTTTCAATTTGCTTTCGAATTGAAACACACGACGTATGGATGTTATCTATTAGTCTGAGTATCATCATACTATTGTTTCTTATTATGATAATTATTATGATCAGGATTCCGGCACCGTCTCTCCTCCTGCAGACCCAGTCAGTACTTAGTCGTACTTAGTCCAGCTAGCAGCAGTATCTATCTAATTCCTTTAGCTATACTACTTTGCTAGTTTAAACGCATCCAATCACTCCCCTCCACTGGTTCTCATTCACGTCCCGGAAGCAAGAATCTTCTGCTCGAATAAAATAAAATAGACTAAAATAAATAAACAGCCGGAATTCCTGTCTTGTTTTTGCTGCCCCTTCCCGTTTTGTCCTCTTATCGCCGGCTTTCTTCTTTCTTCCCTCCGTCGCTTCCTCTTCTTCGCTTCTCTTCTCTTCTCCTCTTCCATTCTTCTGCTGCCTCTTCTTCTTCTCTCCTCCTGGTCTCCCTTCCTCCCTTCTCTCTCTCCCATTCCATCCATTTATTGATTGCCTGCCTCTTTTATCTCATTGCCAGACTATCCAATCCCAGATCAACATCTCATACCTCACCCAACAATCTATCTTACTTCCTGCATTTCCAGCTCAGCTCTACCGGCAGTAGCTCTTTCGCCATGCTTCCTCTCGTCTTGATGTCTCTGGCTGTCGCGGCTACCGCGTCCAGCAACTACACTCTTCCCAGCGACTTCAACATCACCGCCATCAGCTTGTCGGAGCGAAGTAAGACCCTTCTGGTGGATGCATGACCAGCACTCATTTACTGACTACTGCCCTCTAGACTCCTGGTGCACTGCTGAGCGCAACTCTTGCCCTGAAATCTGCGGAGGTGTTGCTACGAGCAACTCGTGTGATCCGGTAGGTGGCACCATCACTCTCGGCGCTTTTGTACCCTTGCACCTGCTAACCAGTTTGACAGAGCACCCTGGACTTCTCTTGTGTCTGCTCCAATGGCTCCACTGCCGATGTCGCGGAGTACACTCAGACCATCCCCTTCTTTGTCTGCGAGGCCGTCTACGCTCAGTGCATTGAGGACTCGTCCTCCCTCGATGAGCAGGAACAGTGCCAGGAGACGCGAGAAGAGGACTGTGGCACGTTGAATGCGTCGGCCTCAAGCACTACCTCTTCGACCACCACGACGGCCGCCTCTCTGACCACGTCCACCGGCTCGTCCAGCAGCACTGGTTCGGGTAGCAGTGGATCGAGCGCCTCTACCACCACCACCAGCAGCAGCTCGTCTTCGACCACTGCCAACGCGGCGATGCGTCTGGCTCAGGAGCATGCCACGGGCCTGTTGGCGACCGTGCTGTTCGTTGGTTTGCGCCTGATTCTGTAAATGATCAGTCTTGGGTGAAGGAGAGATGGGGAGTACTGTTATTGCTGGATGTAATAATCACATTGGGGTCGCAATTGGCCGTGTTGTAATGAGAATGGGGAAGATGTTGTAATGATGGCCGGGGAAAAGAAGGAGGATCCCAGTTGCAGTTGCATGTTCTACGACTTGATGGTTCTTTTTATTTTATTCTCGTACGATTCCCCCAAGCGCGCCTGGGAGTTATTCTTGTAATAATTGCAGATTGAGTACTGAGTTGATTAGTATGGAATGAAACCAGAAAAAAAAAAAGTTGTGATTGTTGTTAAAACTTTTGGAGTAAATGAACAATAATAATAGTAACTCCGTAGTAAATGTCGAGACGATCACCCGATGCAGCGGCGCCAAGAGTTTTTCCCACACTGAATTTTCTCCACCGCCCAAATCCCTTCCACAGAGTCAGTCTCGCAACACCAAGTCGATTCGATCAATCCCCAAAGCCTCTTCTCGCTTCTTTCCCTCTTTCCCTTCCCTCTTTCTTTGATTTCTTTCCCTCCCTTTTCCTCCCCTCACCCTTTTCTCACCACCTCCCATCCCATCATGCCCGCCCCTCCACCACCCTCCTCATCGAGGGTTCTTTCACCGAGCTCGCCGACGAGTTCGCCCAGTACATCGACGCCCTGCGCAAGTCCGAGGCCTCCAGCAGCCTCCAGTCCGAGATTTCCCCGCTTCTGCAGCCCCTTCGTGAGCAGGAACAGTCCGAAGCAGAGCCCGACCGCAAGCAGCGCGATGAGGTCCTCAAGAAGTTGGTCTCCGCGGCCGTTGTCCTGAACAGCGCCCCCGAGAAGGGTACGTATTATCGATAGAACACCCCTCTATACACGAGACGTGGATCCAGAGACTGACGGACGACGACGAAATGAATTATATTATACAGAGATCATCTCCGCCTACAACCTTCTTGTCCACCTTGTTCACCAGGCCTCCGACCCGGATATGTTTTTGTCCCGCATCTGTACCTACCTCGCCAAACCCATCTCCTCCTCCCCTCAGTTCGGCCCCTCCTTGGCCATCTCCATCCTGTCCACCATCTTCAACACTCTTGCTCCCTCCGACTCCAGCCGCTACCATGTTCTCCTGGCTACCGTCGCCGTCATCCGTCAGTCCAGCTCGTCCATTGCCTTTGACGCCCTCAAGTCCCAGCTGGTCGCTCAGCTGCCCAGCTGGCTCGCCGCCTGGGAGCTGGACGCCGACGAGGCCCAGCGCCTGCACCTCGCCATTGCCGATGCCGCCCAGGCCTCTGGTGACCCCGAGTTGGCTCAAACCCACGTCGTCCAGGCCCTGCAGACCATTCCTGCCGCCAACGCCAGCGCCCCCGAGGCCCGCGATCTCGCTGTCCGCGCCCTGACCTCCGCTCTCACCCACCCAGCTGTCTTCGACTTCACCCCCCTGACTGCCTCCGACGCTGTCCAGGCCCTTCGGTCCAGCGACAGCACCCTCTTTGAGCTGCTCGAGATCTTCACCGCCGACACCCTCGACGCCTACGAGGCCTTTATCTCCGCTACCCCTCTGGCCAGCATCTCCGGCGGCGTTCTGGCTGAGGCCGGCGAGGCCCTGCAGAACAAGATGCGCCTGCTCACTCTGGCCTCCCTGGCTGCTTCCACCCCGTCCCGCTCCCTCCCCTACGCCACGATCGCTACGGCCCTCCGCGTGGAGCCCACCGACGTCGAGAAGTGGGTTATTGACACCATCCGTGCTGGCCTCGTCGAGGGTAAGCTGTCTCAGCTGCGCTCCGAGTTCCTGGTCCACCGGGCCACCTACCGTGTCTTTGGCGAGAAGCAGTGGGCCGAGGTGCAGGGTCGCCTGATGGTCTGGCGCCGCAGCCTGGAGAACGTGCTGGGTGTTGTTCGCAGCGAGCGGGAGCGGTTTGTTCGCGAGGGGCTGCAGGCGGCCCAGGCTGCCGAGGAGGCTGCCCAGGGCAAGGGTAACGACAAGAAGGGTGGTGACCGTCGCCGTCACAACAACAACAACAACAACAACCAGCAGCAACAGCAACAGCAGCAGCAAGCACCTGCGGCACCCGCCGCTGCCCCGGAGGCCGTTGCCGTGGAGTAAAGGACTGATGACCGTTTGGTTGAATGATTGATTGATACACAGAGAAGCATACACATTGGGATGAATGAATAAAAAGTTTTCTGTGTGTTGTTGTGAGTTGTGGGCTTGGAAGGTGTTTATTCTATGTTAATGTTCTGCTGTGTCTACACTTTTTTTTATCCCCATTTTCCCTTTATTTCCATCTCACGGGCTCAATTTTCCTTTTATTTCTCTTTTTTATTTATCATGGTAGCTATTGGATTCTAGACAGGTTTATATCCACATTTCATCATGAGAAGGTGGGGGGAAAGCCTGACAGACAATGATACGAGTTATGCCGAGTGTGTAACTGAGTTTTTTTGTATATTCCCAAGTACTACTTTATACATACATAGACCAATTATTTGGGGTGTTGCAACAAGGGTAAATTACTCGGAATATAAGCATATATATATATATATATATATATAGTTACTACTAGGATCATGATGTAGTTGAATGTACTATTCATCAATGTGGCTCTCACGTATCTACCGACCATCTATCCATCTATGTACCACCCACGCCCAACCAAACACTCGTTATAATATTTTCAGAACCCAGAAAAAACCAACCTTACAAAGGATTAATGCCCTTACTCTTAAATCCCTCGCGAATGCGCTCATACACCTCATCAACCGATCCCGTTGCCGTCACCGAAACCACCTTATTTTGCTCCTCGAACGCCTCGACAACAGGCATACTAGTCTCGACGAACGTACGGAATCTCTTCCGGATACTCTCCGCATTATCATCATCCCTACCGGAGGTCTCTCCACGCTTCAACAACCTCGTCTCCATGACCTCCTCAGGACAATCCAAGAACAGGGTCATCTCCGACGGACACACCGTATCCTCGAAGAACACGGCCTGGTCGAGCTTGCGGGGGAATCCATCAATGAGGAAGCGGGGCTTGGGGCCACCTTCTTGCTGTTGTTTCTTGCCGGAGGCCAGGGCGTCGGCCATGGCGTTGGACAGCAATGCGACGGTGATTTCCATGGGCACGATCTTGCCCTCGCGGATGTAGGTCTTGATGAGATCGCCGTATTGGCTGCCTTCGCGGACTTGCTCGGCGCGCAGGAGGTCGCCGGCGCTCAGGTGAGTGAAGCCGTAGTCGCGGACTAGGTTGCTGGATTGTGTGCCTTTGCCGCTGCCGGGACCGCCGAGGATGAAGACCACGGTGATGTCGGTGGGGGAGAAGCGGGGTTGGGTGGTCATTTTGGTGGTGGTGGTGGTGGTGATGGTTGGTTTTGTGGAATCGGATTCTGGGGAGGAAGGGAGGTGAGGTGGTTAGTTTATGTGGTTATTTATTTGTTTTGTTTTGTTTGTTTGTTAGGTAGGTAGGGAGGGGAAGTTGTTATTGTTGGAGAGGAGAAGAGGGGTGGTGGTGGGCAATTGGTGTGGGTTCAAGGTACAGAGAAGAGGGACATACAGTTGGAACCGGGCTTGGGTTTATGCACGCCGGTGCGGGATTTCACGAGTAAGACGTAGGAACCGGTGCCCACAGCGAAGAGGGCAACAAAGGGGAGGACTTTGAAGTTGGAGCGGCTGTATTGGGTAGGGTTGTTGGAGGATTGAGAAGAGGAGGAAGAGGAAGAAGAGAGGGAGGAAGAGGACGAATAGGGGCGATGGAGAGACAGTCGGAGATGTCGGTGGGGGGCCACCACGGGCGGCAGTGTAGCTCCTCGCTGTAGTAACTTGATAGACATTGGAAGAGATGGGATGAGGACTTGGGGGAATGAGGATAGAGTATTTAGGGGGAAGGACTGAAGGGGAATTAATGACAATACAGATTGAGCTACTGAACTGCAAGACTTGCAAAGAAGTAACGCAGAAGAGGTCAAAACCCAGATGAAGGAGAGGAAAAGAAAAAGCAGGAAAAGGAAAGTTGAAGTTCATCTCGCATTCGCTACTTTGGGACTAGCGCGGATGGCCTGATCTATACAATCTGAGAGTGGTGTTACTTACTTCCCCATTGTATAGCTTCATCTTCTTCCTCTCTCTCTCTCATTTATTCTACGTACAGTCACTTGAATGATCTGATCCATCGTACTGTGGCATCTAATAAAGGTCATGGACAAGTAGGATACTATATGTTCACCTCTTGACAGCTCTTCTTGCCAACATTCATTACTTCAATACACACATCTACAGCATCTCATCAAGTGAACGATTGCATCATTCTTGCACATCTTCCAACTATATCCCTTTGTCCTCTGGCTGTCTCATTTCACCCCAATCTTCTCGGCATCTCATAGCTTCTTCCCCCTTCCCCTCTGCTCGTGCAGTCTCCCCCAGCAAGATGCTCCATCCTCACCCCCCAGCTCCAAGAAACAACCGTGCACATGCAAGAGCACCTAGAGCACCTAGAGGTCACTTTCAATCAGCTCTGCATACACAGTCTCTTGTACAATCTCAGCCTTTCTCCCGAGGTCAACAGCACCATCATTTGAACGTGAGTGATCTTTCCCAACATGCAATGCACACACTAACACACCCAGTCCCGCGGAGGACAACCACATATCTACCAAAGTCAGAGAGGTCGTTCTAGAGGACAAATGTATACAGCCAACTTTCAGCCATCATGGGGAGCACACAACAGTAACGGAGCTCCCGGCCGTAGTCGTTCCAACTACAGAGGCCGCAGATCCAGGAAGAAATTTCCAGCCAATACTAGAATTCAAAACTCTAGACATCTTACTACAATGTCTACAGCTCCATATTTCAACATCAAACGTCAATCTTCGGGTTCGACTGAAGGAAAAGCAGTAGCTCATACACCCTCGCCATTCCAACGGCTCCCACCGGAACTTCGAGACCAAATATATGGCCATATATTTGAGTCTCACCGTGTCGAGCTCATACGAAGAAGCGAGAAGGATCCGACTAAACACCCAAAGAGAGTGTATTACCGCCTTTATCACAACCCCCTTCGATCGCGCGATCCCATCACACAGCAAATCCAGGACCCCTGTCGGAAAAGTCAACTCCCTGTGCCCATAGCACTGGTTTTTACATGTCGCAGTATCTATTGCGACACCCTTTGGTGGCTGTACTCCACTACCCAATTTGTCTTTACTTCGACGAGGACTATGAATCGCTTCTTTAACACCATCCCCTCGGAAGTACAGCCTGCCATTCGACACGTCGAGATTAACCAGGAAATGCACAGTGAACCAAGTTTAACCGAGCATCGTATCCACAAGGTCCGAAGTGACTGGGCTTTCACAATGGCGTGTGAGAATTTGGTGAGGTGCTGCTCAGGACTGCAAGTCTTGTACATTTATTTCCGCATCCGTGACTGGCCCATGAGCCTCGAGATCGGCGAAACATGGTCATTGCCAATGATGGCCTTTGCGGAATACAAAGGTAAAGGTGGCTTGGACGTCGTGACCATCAATCTCGATATGCCGAGATTTGGGGTACAGAAGTTGAAGAATATGGCTAAAACCCTCGAGAAAAGATTTATGAAGCCTGAGGCGTTTCAGATCAGGGAGGATGAGCGACTGGCTAGAGAGTTAAGTTGCTCTTTCATGGAATTGCGGGTAGATGGAAATGACTGATATCTCTCTTTCGTTCATGTCCTGGCCAGTTTGATAGAGGAGATGAAGACTAATCCGGTATGTTCGAAGGGTGGGGGAGGATTGATCGTTGATATTCGTTTCTTTTTCTTTCCTTCCTTCCTTCCTTCTTCCTTCTTCGAGTTACTACTCATTTATGGTTTCATGGGATAAACCCAATATGTTTCTATGATACGTTTTCTTTTCTCAATACCCTAAACAGAAAAACAAAAATGGAAATACCACTCCCGTTGACTTGAATCAAGGTGTACTGGCTGTCTATTTATGCAAGTCCAATTAAATGTAGTCAATATGTACGTCAGTCGTCAAAGGGGGAAAATATACGGTACAAAAATGGTGGGTGTCTAGACATGCATGAACGCCCGCGATATGCAAAAGATAATGACCCGTCTTTCCTTCCTTTCTTTTTCCTTCCTTAATGCCCTTCAAACAAGCGAGCAAACCCCCCAAGTCTTGCCCGCGCCCATATTATCTTCTATCCACAGTGTGCTTTCCTCTCTTTTTCGGGTTTACTCCCTCGACCTGTCAACTTCCGTCAAGGATTGGCCCTCTTCGGACGGAACCTCGTGGTATGCCTGCATACGACGACGACGAAGGAACCAATAACCGCCCGCCAGGACCCCGCCCACGGAGCAGATGACCAGAACAGAGATCAGCAAGCCACCGACTCCGTGGATAACCTCGTACGCCTTATCCACGGCCATGGCTGCTTGCTTGGCTGCTTCCTTAGCCTCCGCATTGGGGTCCACCTCTTCCACATCTTCTTCCGCCGCGGCCTGCTTGGGGCCGTAAAGAATGGTCGGATCATCGGCGGTAGGCTTCGTGTCACCCTGGAAGCCGGCCAGGCGCCAGTTCTGTGGGGTCTCGGTGCGGTGGATAGGAGAGGAGCCGATGACGTTGCCGTCCTTGTCAACGGCCTCGACGGAGATCCAGTCGAGGTAGCCGTCTGCGATGTACATGGTCTCGAAGTCGAACTTGGTCGTGTTGCCGATCAAGACGGGGATGCCGTGGCGGTCGGCTCGAGCGTAGAAATTCCAGGAGGCGATGTCGGTAGCACCGTTCCAGCTGACATGGAAGATCGTCGCCAGGTCGGTCTCATCGGTACCGTAGACGGAGGCGATCACGTCCGGGGGAGTGTTGGGGCGGCCGACGAAAGGGAATTTGTACGACCGGTAGGTCGAGAAGCGGGTGGATGCGAAACGGCCTTGCATGAGGACCTTGCCGTCGGGCGAATGCTCGCTCTGCATGCCTTGTTCACTCCAACCCACGAAGACGTTTCCGTTCGGCAGGGTCTGAACACTACCACGGAGACGGGTCAGGCCGTTGTCTGGGCGGTTGTAGCGCTTGAGCAGACGCGCGGTCATGGGGGTCGTCGTGGTGTCGATCTGCACGAACATCGCTGCGGATGTGTCTTCCTCGTTTTCGGCCTCATCAGAGGCATTGTTCAGGAAGGAGACAATGGCGTGGGTGGCGTTGGACTCGACAAAACGTGCGTGGTGTTGCTTGGAGAAGGTGAAGTCCTGAACGAAGTCGGAGTACTTCCCACCAAGGCGCCATTTGATCTGTCCATCCTCGCCAGAGATCAGGTAGAGGGTGCTGGTGAATCGCGCAGACAAGAGGTAGTCTCCTGTCGTACTCTTATCAATGGAGTTCACGTGGACATAATCCCAGCCGGGTTGGGAAGCCGGCGGCGAGCGAGAATCGACTTTCACGGACTCGTGAATGGGGATGTAGCCGAGAGAAGACCATTCGTAGAGGACTTCGCCGGTAGCGGTGTCCAGCTCGACGAAGCCACCGGCGACAACCCAGCCATTCTCGTTGGGACGACCGAGGTCTCCCAGGTCGACATATTCGTTGCGGTATGCGCAAGCCAAAGCAGTCTTTCCACCAGGCAGGACATTGAACTCGTGCATGTTAAATGCTGCGAGATCGTTGGTCACCGGCACAGCAGTTTCGACCTCATAGTTTTGGTCGAGAACGTATCCGTATCCTTTGTCCCTACCACCATCCTGATAGCCATGCTGAAGGATGAAGGACAGATGAGATTTGTCGTCGATAGTGTTGACGGCTTTGAAATCGAAAATGTTGCGGTTGTCGAACATGCAAGATCCGGCCCAAACCAGAGTCTATGTTTGGCCGGTTAGTAAGCTACTTACTCCTTTCGGGGATCTCACTCATTTTTGAGAGACATCCCTTTCCTCACGAAAGGGGGAAATGAATTTTCGGGATAAGGAATGAGAAAACGTACGCCATCTGCATCATAGATGTAGGGCCCAACTTGGCAAGGCTTCCATTGCTTCGTGGGAGCTTCTGGGTCAATCACGCCATATGGCGCAACGAACCAGTAGCCTGGGCTAACCGATTCGCGATCGTAGTATGCAACATTAAACTTCAATGCTCTCACTTCCGGAAGCTGGCTGCTCGTCAGCAAGAAGACCATATATATATATATATACGCTGGAAATTCTCCTACCGTCACAAAGGACATCAAATCATCGTCCGCCTCCGCCTCCGCGACAATCCCGCGAAAAGAAAGAAATAGCAGAACCCAGAAGAACAACATTTTTTGAAGGAGTGGCTAGGAGAGGAAGAGTTCCTCCCCCAAGAAAAAAAATAAAATTGTGACGATTAGCTAGGGAAAAGGGAAACGATTAGCGGAAAGAAAGGAAGGAGGACAGCGGGAGACGACCGGGTCATTAAGACAGACGGTCGCTGTCTGTCAAGCAGCCAAGTGGATGTCGGTCGATGGTATCTATCCGAAAGATCTTCTCCCCTGGCGCGCAGGGAACAGTAGTCAAGTATGGAGGTGCCCCCTGCAAGCACACCCCATCCACGACACCGTCGAAACGGAATCCCATGAGCCAGCACAAATAGGGAGAGGCTAAGACTCCGCAAAGCATTACAGAATCTCCATAATTTGGGTCGGGCACGGCCAGTGACAACGTAAGTGCTGATACGGCCGCTGACGATCAGACGAGGCGGACACTCTTGGCAGCGTTTCGGACAGTGGAGCTGCGGGCCACGCTGCGAACTTCATCAGCGCAGGAGACGCTCTGATTGCTGGATAAGGTGCAGCCGGAAGTCGCCCAGATTCGTGGATGGGTCATCCCATGATCTCACTGGGTGGCCACGCCAAATGAAGCGATTTTGACCCGGCAATTCTACGCTGGAGGTGTGAATATATCGAATTCCTCTGAGCCGCCACCCCCAAACCCTCTTGTTCCCTCCCTATACGTGGAAGGGGGAGGAGGGGAGGCTGCGTTATGTGAGCATGTATGTGAGCAGCAAGCGCCATTAACCCCGAGCTGATTCGGACCTCGGGCATGAAACATTAAAATCTTTTCCACCCCGAGTTTACCCCTTCCGGAGATCTAGACCGACTGAGTCGCGAGTGTGTGGCTGAAATGGACTATTGGGAGACCCATGGCTATGGCCGGTTGTCTGATTCTACCCGCCAAATCAGTTGTCAATTGGCGACGGTCCACGTACTCCCAGTTTCTTCCCACGGACTTGGCGCACTAAGCGAAATTGGCCGTCTAAGACTTACTTTTCTGGAAAGAGTTCTATGGTGAGTCTCCAAGCCGGTTATCCGCAACCACGAGCGAACCGTGCCGCCTGGGGAGAAAATTCCTGGCGGATTGGCGAATGAGAGATTCCGTGGCATGCCGGTGTCGGTATCATTTGCCATTTCAGAGTTCTCAGACCCATGGACGCCTCAGGCTAACCGCCGACTCCATCCAGGAGAAGCGATCGGCAGTCCATATATATAGGCTCTCTTTTCCATCGTCCCAGACAGATTATCTTAGTGATTATCATGGATACGCTTGCTTTGATCAGCGGGTCTTCTCCGTTAGCACCGGTGGTGGTGAGCTGAGTTTTGCTCCGTAGCTTGGGCGATCTGGTATGATGGTATGCGTGGTGCAAGGGGGTGGAAGGAAGGATCTGGATAGAAGTTGAGTCTCTTTTATTGTTTTTCTTTTCCCGATCTCAGATGGACCCCTGGAATTGGATACAGTGGTATCCTGAAAGGCCACGATGCACATATTCCGGGGTAGCCCAACAAGCTATGGAGTAGGTATGGCGAAAGGTAAGAGTCGCTTGAATTGGCGAGGTGAGGGAGGTGTGCAATTGAAAATGGACTGGCGTGACCACCTGACAAGCCACGTGATGGGTATACAATTCCTTTGAATTGGCTTTCGTCCAGCCATTTATTTTCTATCTTTACTGCTATCAACTCCTGTTCGTTGCACGATCTACCAAACCATGGCAAATAGGTTTTGGTCTGCGACCATGACTTCTCAGCACCGGAGTAGATAATGCGGAAAATTCCTATTCCCTGTTTCCTACCTGGGTCAGGCGGTTTCGGTTGTGTGTGTGGACTACGTATACACTGAACGACAGTCCCGTCAAAATTCCGTTGTGGTGGGTTGATCTCTGCCAATACAGTTCGGGTGAGGGAGACGATGACGGTTGCCACTCGGTTCTTCCGGCTAGATCTGATCCACTTGTTGAAGACTTCCGTGTGAAACGAATGCATTAGCCTATAAGGTCAAGCTCATCTCGAGCCACAGGGATCCCCTTCTGGGAAGTGATCGTTGGCCTGCGCAGAGAGTGCTTGGCTGTAGCCAAGTATAAACCTAAATACAGATGTGTACGTATGGGGTGCAGTGACCACCTATTTGCCTACTACTTCTCATCCTTCAAGTTCGGTATTTCACCCCCTACTCCGGGCGCTGAAGCGGCATAGCCTATGATTTCGGGTTCCGCGAATGTCTTCGGTCTATACCTCAGGGTTTCCGACAGAGCTACTAGTACAAGTCCTTCTGTGCCTAGCAAGTCGTCCAGACCGAGCTGTGGAGGAATTGATTGCTGACACACGGTGGTGACGTTGACTCGCGAAGGGTTACCGGGCCCATCATGGGTTAGCGCGTCGATGGTAAGCGCCCATGTAAGTGGGTTGTATAGCACTCCTTTATGCGTGTACAATCCTCCTGCGGGCTTGTGGGCGCAAATAGACTGTAAGTGATTATTGGACACGCCAACTCCACGTGCATCCTGGAGGATCGCGGATGCTTGGTCTCCATCCATCGGCTGCACAACTTCGTCAAATGAAGAGTAGATGGTCGTTGTGTGAACATACGCCGACTCCCCCCCGAGTGCCCTCAGGGTGCGAACGAACTTAGCGTCCCACCCCTGCTGCCACAGTGCGGGGGTGCACATTATCCCCGCAAGCCAGGGGCACACCAGCCTGGCCTCAACAGTCCCTCGGAAATCAGGGCTTATTGCAATGAAATCCTCCACTGAGGCTCGGGTGGATGGCCAATATTTGAGGGCCCACTGTGTGTTCAACCCGCCCTGGGACCAAGAGATGATGTTAACCTTGGACTGGTAGAGACTGGACATGTAGTTAATGGCATATGCGATGTATTCAGCGGTAACCTGGACATCTCCCAGAGAGGCTTGGGGTATATTAACCCAAGCCATGTCAACTTCCGGGATAGCGTTGCCCAGCTTCCCGAAATTATAATAAAACGATGTCCCAGCAGGTGCGGCCGTTCCTGGAACCAAGATCACTGGTTTCCTTACACTGTTGTTCTCCTCTTGGGAGAAAGATGGCATATGGATAGCCTCTCTAAGAGCTGCTTCTGGGATGGAATACGGTGCATCCTCGGTTGCTTTAGACGGGTATATACGCCCGCTTTTGAGGTCAGGATTTAGGTTATGAGCCGAGTTAATTTTGGCGTTCAGATAACCATTCAAGACGGCGAGGATCATGGGAGGAACTAGGCCGGAGGCCACTATGTCTTTTGCAAAATCCAGCATTGTCGAGCTGCTCTTCTTGGTGAATATTACCTCGATCTTTTTCAGTGCCAGTTGCACCTGCTCATCTCCAGATTGTTGCAAAACCTCGTTTGTCGCAAGACCTGATTTGATGCCTGCAGCCACAGACGATACCCTCTTATTCACCAGGGGATCTTTGGCTGCATTCGACAAAATTGAGACAAGATCATGTTCCGAATTTGGCACAGGCGCCTGTTGTTGGGGAATTGAGATGCAGAGGCATACAGGGCTCAAGAGTACCCCGTAAAGGAGATGTCTAGCTAGGGCAGACAGCCGCATGTTATGCAGTTTCAGTGATGCACGATAGAGACTTGAGAGGTGCACCCGCGATGAATGCACTTACCGGGCAGAGAGAAACTGCTGACGGATATAGCCAGCAATAGTGTGCCTCGTATTTGACAGCACAGAGTGTTCCGATTCTTCTTGACAGGCCTCGGTCTCATTTGCTGATTTACTCCTTCGTCATTGATTCGCGGTCTTGACCTGGAGAGAGCCAAGATCCAGTCGCGATCCAGGCATCAGAATCGCAAGCCCTTGGTTACTGGATAATGGAGCGATTGGATGCGTCTTACTGAGAGTAGTTGCATTATCACTCAAGGGTCAGCATTCTGTCTGACCTTCAAATGGTCGGTCTCCCACTCCGCGGGCCACCCGTGAGATATCGGGAAACTAAGACAACTTTTATGCTTTGCCACTAACACCGAGCCTGCACAAGTCATCATGAGTTGATAGAAGAGGTATGGAGTATGAAGCTAATCAGCAGGTATCTGTCATACAATTGGTCCAAAGCACGACGTCTGCAGCGGTTCACTTGATCTCCCTGTCGCCACTCTATTTCCAGTCGGAGGAAATCAGTGACGGGCAACGGGAACGTGAAGATGATGGTCAAATGACCATGTTTGCGACGTATGATCAGCTCAGTGGCTTCTTGGACCGGTACTTTGGTCGGTTTAAGCAGTAGTGGCTGGCTGATGCTGATGTGCCATTGCTCCAGGGCCTTAAGAAGATCAAGCTTGGAGGAAGCAGGTAGTTGAGAAAGGATAGAAAAAGCGATTGAGATCCCAACCGGCACCCATGTTCCCCGAATATACTATCGCTACTGGGAACCCAAAGCACTGTAACAGTACCCCAGGCTCGAGTCATCTGCATTGCAGTGCAGTCTGGGGAAGAGCACAAGTGCAACCACCACAAAGCCAACAACACCCAGCTGTCATCGTTCCAGTATAATCCAAGAGGTTCTTGATCCTATAGTGATTGATGTATTCTGCATGGCCTCATTATCTCACAAACCCCTCAAACCCCCGTGGCTCCGCCCCGACAGCATCAACCCACTTCATTCCGTCTTATCCAAAGTCTTCGGATTATGTGCTACACGATGCCCATGCTGATCGTGAAAGATGACCTTGAGAGGGGGAAAAAGGACCGTTAGCCGCATGTGCTCGATGCCTCGAGTCTGGTCTGCGGGGACTTGCTTACTTTAGGTGGATTGGCTACCTCTTCTTCATGTGCTTCAGCCTCGTCCATGACGACCTTGTCAACCTGGTTTGGGTCAGTTAGCCATGCGCTAAAACTAATTACTGAATTGCGAAGCTACCATAAGCCGTTCAAGAGAACGATGGCTCCGAGATGGGGAACGGTAGGCTTACTTCTCCTTCGTGGGTTCCTCCACGATACCTTGTATACACATAGTCTCCTTCGTTGATCTGTTCTCCTGTCTTGTCTTGAACTCTTCTCGTCGGCATGATGCGAGAGTGGTTTCAGTGTTTATAGCAATATGTAAATTACTGGGTTGCTCGAGGAAAAAGAATGCAGCTATTACAAAAGAAAAGAGTATACCCGAGTGAAGTGTACGATGGACTATTCATATGCACACTTATTTCACACTGGGGGTGATGTCATCATGAGGCAGGAACGAACGCCTCCCGCTGGAGCCTGAAACTATACTGAAGACCTACACAAGTAGCAAATGTCAATCTACACATGGCCGCTGTCAATTTCTCATCTTCATGTCGATATTATTTTCGATCCCCGAGCACAGATCTAAACTGGGGGTTTGGCTTCGGTACGGTCCTATACCACCACTGTTCAGACCACCTTTGTCAAGTATATCCTAAATAATTGCCTTGGAGAATTTATTCGTGCCATTATCGTTCTACTAGTAATATGAATATGATGAGCGCTGTTTAGATGAATGCTGATTGAGGCTCGATTGGATAGGATTTAGTACTAATAAAGAGTGCAAGCACACCGCACAGCAATCCCATAGGAATATATACTCAAGTACTGATGGGGCTCCTATGACAGAAATATGATGAGATTACTATTTACTGGACTACTGCCATTGGAAATGAAGCCATCACAAACACATGGATCAAAGAGAAAATGAGGATAGGAACCACGTCACTACCAGCAGTTCTCTAAAACCCCCCATCCCCTCTCTCCCAACAGAAAACCAGAAAGTAAGCGCGAATACCGAGCCATTGTCACACAGTGGCAGTGATGCAAGATGGGGAGTGGATGATGATGGTAGTGCAAGGCTAAAAGTCGGGTGGACCAAGTAGTTGAGCACGACAGTCTCATTGAATGTATAATATAAGTCCGACATGGTGTGAGTAGCATTATATCGATGATAGTCATAATGATGATGGTGCTGGGTGGTGCGCGCCATCTCTTGCTGGTCTTACGATGTTGCAGCAGTCAGTGGTGTTCCCCTCTCGGATGACCCGGACTACTTGGACTTGGCTCATTCGATACGAGGTCATGGAAAATATGTACCCGACCGGCGTTAGCTTTAGTGAGTGAGTAGATCACGTTGCCGGGGCTTGGGTTGCATGACTGCTCACTGTAGATGGGTAGATGGTGTTAGGATTGTGGGTCCTGGGGCAGAGGATACTGTCGACACGGTATCAGATGGTTCATCATTGTAGCTCTGTCTTGCTAGCAAGGTATCTTCGCTTGAGAGCAAGTAGTAGTGACGTGGGCTGAGGGAGAGTGTGATTTTCTCTTAGTAGGTGTTATAGTGACTTTGGCGTCATATGTATAGGAGATGATGATGATGACCATGATGTTACGACCTGCCTGGGCAGGACTTGTGGTCGTCGAGGTTCTCCCATAGGCAAAGCTCGCATCGTTAGGATCAAGGTCTGGTGTTCTGGTGGGCCACGTAGGTCCACAGACACAGGGGTTGAATTTATGGCGTTTATGACATGGCTGAGGTGTCTTGCATGCTCCGTGAAGATATGGGGGTGATGGATGGTTGGGAAGTCATGAGAACCACGTGGGCAGAGAGTGTCTTGGCCCGTATCAGCAGCACCTATCCTCTGGCTGCTATGTGGGAGTGAAACTGAAAGGTGCCCGACTCATCGTATACAAGTTGTAGTTGGTATATGCTATGATTAGATGAAATCTACAGATTGGACACTGCTGCCGAGTCATGACTGATTGCATCAGGGCAGCACAGCACCCCGACATCTATCAGAATGGAAATTAAGCGGGGATAGCGCCCCTTGCAGGATCAAAATCTCCTGGGTATCTTGACAGGCATTTGGTCCCTTGCACCAACCTTGGCCTGTCTGAGTGGTCGCGAGGGGACCTTGAAACGCAGAGTACTACTAGATAACAGATCGGGCTAGTAGCGAAATGGTCTAAATTGTCCTTGCCGATAGAGATCGATCACTCCTGAAAGCGGAGATGGATGATACTGTTGCTGATTGTTATTCTTAGTGTGGTTATCGATGATTACCTTCCTGACTTTGTGCGTCTCAGCACATGTCCCGTTCCTTGGCGGAATCTCAGGAATGCGCGTAGTTTCTCTCGCTGAGGTAGAAATGTAGTACCCCTACTTAGAGGTATTTAAAAGTGATATGGTGCTATGATGATTAAGATTAATTCGGCCAAGCACTTCCATGGCAGGTAAAACACCCGAATAAGAAACCGATCAGATACCAGGTGAGTGCATCTAGTATTAAACCTGAGTACTTAGTAGTAAGTAAGTAGTGAGTAGATAGTAGTAAGAGTACTACTAAGTAACTTGCCGAGTGATGAGACGGTGATTGGTGGGGAGG